TTTTTTTTTTTTTTTTTTTTTTGCGAATAAAAAAATTCGTGGAGAAAGTATAATATCAATGAAATATATATATTTTTCGAAAATCCTCCGCTAATTTTTTTCTTCTGCCAAATCAATCAATATAAATTGACGATATAAATAAATTAAATTTGTAATTTTAATACCTTTGAATTTGTAATTCAATGTAGGATAGTTGTACGTAGTTCAAAGTGTGATATACAAAGTGTCTTTAGAAACTTCTATTCACAATCGCGCGAATCAATCTTTGCGTTTCAATCATGCTTGGTGAGCAACGACTTGAATAATTTTTCTTTTCAAAAAAAAAAAAAAAAAAAAGTGCCTCTTAATGTCCTTTTGAAACTCTAATATAGAGATAATAGTGTATAAATAATGTAAAGATTACGTGGACGATTGTTTCACAATGACAAAAGCATCGGATCCATTAGATCCATTAATCAGTTAGAGATTTATTTAATAATAAATCGCGTGCCTTTAATCGATTGGATTTTTTTCTGCTTTAGATAACATTAGAAATGTTATTTCCTCGAGGGAACGTTTCAATCGAATCACTCGCTGTCAAATCGTATTAACCTATTCTTCATTTGCACGGCACGCGTTAAAAGTCTTGACATTTTATATAGCCGTCATTTTATTAGGTGTGACAACGAGCGTTGCGATCGTTACTTAATTGTCACTCGATAATCGCGCGAGAATAAAATTAATTGTATGCCGTTGCATACAAAATTGGAGAATTGATTTCATCTGAACGTTCAAAGGCTAAAATAACAATGAGAATTCTTTTCTTTATTCGTTGTGTTATATTCTATTTTCATTGCTAGTTACTTTTCGTTAATCTGGTTACTTACGATTTTATCATCCGTCGATAAGAAATTTTATTCGCAAATTTCTCTATATTTTTTATTTTTCGACCTTACGCAAGCATATGCGAAAAAGAACGCGATGTGTGAACCACGTTATCTTCCCACGTTTTGATTCCAAATTACTCGTGTATGAGAGAATGAAAAGTAAATTAGATTTCGATAATTTAAGAAAGTATACGTATCATTTTCAGTCATTCGTCTCCGTGATGATATTGAATCTAAAATAAAGAAAAATCATCACGAGAAACGTCTAAAGATAACTCTACGATGCTGATTTTTTTCGTGGATTATTTAAATTATTCGTCAAACTTCGAACAAAATCGAACGATTTGCAGATTTCACGCGATCACCATGTGTGTCTAATAGCTTCTAATAACGTCGAGAGGCCGATTTCATTTCGCTCGCGATCAATCAGATATGCCAAGTGATTTAAAGAATATATATTTAAACATTTTAAAACGTGTTTTAAGACTAATCAATCGACAGTATATACAGTTATTATATATAATTCCAAAAATATTTTAAAAATCTTCTGGCTGTTTAATACTTTGATCTTTGACAAGTGATTTTTTTTTTTTATTTCCCTCTTTAAAGATTCAGGTCATGATTCTAAAATGAAGCAATAAATATCCATAAATATCTATTGATATTTAAAAATTAAAAAAGAAAAAAAAAATTTCTTTTCCTTTTATATTACTTCTACCGCGTTTATGCAAATTCACCTTTTTTCGATGTAACTAAAAAAACATGGAACTTGAAAAGACAAATTTGTCTCATCTTTTAATCCATCCAATGGACAATGAAAGATATATTTTCAACGCAATTTATCTCTACGCGCTCGATATTTCCAACATATAAATTTCTATAAGATGAATAAAGAGAACGGATCAAGTTTTCCACGCGTATTCAATTTTAAATGTACTTTACTTCGAGAAATTATTTAACAATATACAAGCCGGTTTCAATAATGCATTTCAGCGTCTGACAACTATCCAATTCCAATCTAATTTCTCACGAAACACATACACGGATACATTTAAATACTTTTGAAAAACTATAACCTGTAACCTAATTAAGTTTCCATATTCTGATCCTGAAAAAAAAAAAAAATATTTCTATTACCGCGATCTCGATTAACGCTCGCAAAAGTGTCGCTTATTAGTCGATTTAAAACTAATTTCTCCCCCCCCCCCCCCGCCTCTCTTAATAGTTGTCGTCCGTGGAAAAATATGAGTTTTCCGGTTTTCACTTTGGAATCGAATATTGACCAATATTCCATATAAGATAAGATAGAATCAGATGTTGTTCGAGAGTTATATTTTCGAGAGTTATATCAGCGTATCCAGAATCGATTTACCTTTATTATTTTATATTACGAATAAGTAGATACGATCTTCGAGACCACTCGATTTCGATATTTCTTTTTTTTTTTTTCTTTTATTTATCTCTCTTTCTTGACAACATTCGAATATATCGAATCCGTATCGCGTTTCCTATTAGATCGAAGGGAAAGTTGCGTGTCACTTTTTAAACCCCGGTCAAATAAAGAATTTTCAATTGATAGATTCGTTTTGTAATATCCCTCGTTTTATATCCGTGTATATATTTTAAGTTGAAGATTAGATCAAACGATTAGATGTAAAAAATATATCGCAACTCGAGTTTCGATTACAAAGATGGATTTGAAAGAGGAGAGGTTATAAATGCAACGATTCTGAAAGAGAAACGTAGATATATATATATATACGTAGTTTGAAATTAATGTTACGAGTGAACGTAAGAACGTACGAATGAATGATTTAACGAATGATCAGAGTTACGATAATAACGTTGTTTAAATAATAAATTAGTTAGTATTATGCAGAAGAATTGTGAAAAAAAATTCACAAATTGATATACTTACGTGTGTAGTTATGTAAATATGTTTGCAATTTTGCGATACAAAATATCGAAAATATTAATGTTCTGTCGAGATGATTATTCTTCGATTATAAAATATTAAATACCAGTTTATCGTGCAAAATTGAAATGACGAGTACGCTATTTCAAAATCGATATTACTTTTTCCCAAACCGAAACCAATAATATCGAAGTGTAAACATTGCTAATTTTAAGATGCTATGTATTTCGTAACGATATAGAAATAGGTTCGCGTTGAAAATTTCTAGGATATGAATCACGTGTCGTTTGTTGATATCGACAGAATTAACTTTCGAACGATATTATTTTCAGCAGTGCTTTCAGATAAACTGTATTCCATCGAGTATTAAGTTCGCTTCTTTGCTCTCTGTTTACAGCATTGAAGGAATTTTAAAAATAAACCTATTGTCGTATTGTTAATATTAGAAGATACGTAATATTTTACGTATATCTTCGGCGAAATATTAATCGATATCTTAGATTTTCGATCAAATTTGAAAAATGGATCAAGAATTATTTTTAACAATCACTCGAGTTTTTTTTATTATGGAATTAATTCCAGAATTCACTTTATTAAATTAATTCAACGTCATCTTATTTAACACAAAATTAAAAATAAATTCTTCGATACAAAATCACTCGTCAAATATTAATCAATCAATAATCCTCGTTAATTTCCATCACTATCTTTGTAAAAACTTTTTTGTAAAAATTTATTCAACTATTCTCCTAACTTGTTGTAATATTAATATTATCATTAATTTACAATTAATATCAATTACAAATTGATATAATATCCGTTCTTTCTTGATCCAACTAAATTAACAATATATCAATTAATTTGATATCGATTCTATTCATTCAAAATGCATTAGTTTGACTTAATTATCACGTTGCTACATCACCCACCTAGTTAATAAAACCAATTTACGATTGTTTACATTGTAAACAAACTGCCAGACTGTCGATTTATGGCTGGCCAAACCGTGAATATCTTTCCATTTCTAAATATACATATTACTTGTAATACTTTTTAGCCAAGATGTGACGTGAATTCGCAGGATCCTGTCGCGAATTAAAAAGAAGAAATCGAATGGCGAATGAATAAAGCGGATTTTTAAGTCAAAAGCTATTCTCATCTTTTTGTTCGATTTTTTTTCTTTTCCATTCAATAATCCAATAAAACGAATGAAAAAGCTTTAATTGTCTCATCTTGCTTTATATTTTCCATTCCTTTTTAGAAAACTCGAGCTATTGAAACAATTTATAAATGCAAAATGGAGTACAAGTTGAAGGAAAGTTGGAAAGAATTTCGCGGGAATTTTGAAATAGTCGAAACTGTTTATCCGTTTTAAAAAATGTTATAAATTCTTTCAAGATGATATATTAATCATACAAGTAATATTTATATCATACCATCATACGATAAAAATTGTATCATGATTGATATATCCAATCGATAACATTTTAACTCGTAATTACAATCGTAATAATTTTAACAAAGGCTCGAATGTCGAAGAAATGGAAGACACACAGGCAAATGATGATTTTCTTATTAGGAGGATCTCGTTTCGATTATTTATTATTATTCCATCAAACATTAACGTATATATTAGATGATTACATTGTAATTAAATTCCAATTTTAATTTTAATTTTACATCGTCTACATCGTCAACAGTAATTATTAAACGATCCTCGTTTTTCAAACTGGTTCCAAAGATAATCCTTCACTTGTCGTAATTGCGAGTGATAATAAATAATTCATTGCTAGATTTTATTATGTTCAACACAGTTCACCTTATATAAATTGTATTAGACGTAGCGAAATTAAAAGATAATCTATGAAAAATCATTAAATAACATCCAAGATAAGCAGAATATTATCGATATCTAGATCTACGTAGAACACTGATTGAAATTAACATTTTTCGATTGTGCTGCTTTTTAACCTTGATATTACTTGAATCGAATCAATCGTATCTGTATTATTATCACCATATCTTATTTAGATAATAAAATCATTAATTACTTATCAGACAAATCAGTGCAGTATTAAAGAAAAAAAAAAAGATATATAAAAGATATAAAAGAGTTTTCAAATGTCTAGTTTTCTATTTCTATATGCATCCAATTAATCGATAACATTTGGAACACCATAGTTTTGGATTTCGTTGCATTTTTACAATTGTTTTTGTACATGTCAAAAGTTATCTACAGAGGATTTTTGATGCTGGATTAAACGAATAAAAGGCATTCATTCTGATTGCTTTTAAAATAACAAGATAATAATACAATGTAACAACGTGTTCAATATTCATTATTATTGTGTTATTTGCTTTTTTCTTTTTTTCACGATTGTAAGAAAAATATATAATTTCGCAACAAATTTTAAAAAAACTTAAAATTTGTTGTACAATCGATACCGATTATATTTTACAATTTTTGTTGCTTGTACATTTAATTAAAACGACATTATGATTGCATCGACATCATTAACATGAAAATATAACAATATTGTAACAATATTGTAATAAATTCCTAACCTAGCTGCATTAAAATTCTGTTGAAGTAATTTATGCAACTTATCTATTATGGAAATTAGATTTAGCGATTTCCATAATGATTTCTAACGTGGCTTTTGCTTTATATCAGAATATTATAGGAGATCTTATATTTATGATGTTGCAAATAATCACGATATTTTTCTCGATTATTTTTTTTTTTCAGATAATTTCGATTTATCCTTTTATTTCAATCTACATAAATTAGTAATAAATTATATCTTTACGATACAGGATTAGAAATACTTGATTATTTCGAATTATCTCGTTTTACGGTACGTATCATCCCGGTAAAATGTTTCATCGATACTCTTTCCTATTCACGATAATATTGAGGTTAGGTAATTAAGCTTTATAGAAACTCGTAGGTTTGTTCACAATAAGGTATATATCACGAAACGGTAAAAAATTAGACGTGGAAACAGACATTTAGGATACAATAAATTGTACGGTTAATAATCAACAGCAACGTTACAATCACGTATTCGAATCATTAAACGACCCACTCCACCTTCCTCGATCGTTTTCGAGTAGGCGATCATTCTTTCAACGATTTATCATTCCATTAATCATTCGATATTACGACATCAATTCGGCAATTCATCTCTTAACGCTACTACTTTTCAATCAAGTCTTAATTGATTATTAACCGAGAATATTATAAAGACATTAGCGATTACGAATGAATCAAATGATGAACTAAATTATAGAGTAAGATGAATACACAAATAAATCGAACCAACACGAAACATGAAAATATACGAGCGATACAGCTTGAATCAAGAAAAAGATAAAAGGAATTTAATATTTATATAGTTTTCAATAGATTTTTAAATTCAACTATCATCATTTATCGATTTGTAGTTTATATTTTATCGAATTACTTAGAATTTAGTTATTAGAAGATTTTAATTTTTGGCGTAGAATAATTGAAAAAAAACTTTAAAAGCATACGTATTGTATGAATTTTCAAATCGAGACATTAAATAAACTTTTAAATGCAGTATTATATTTCGAATAAAAGGACCTTAGAATTCCATATTCATAAATTAGATAGAATAAGATACAAAATGTTAGTATATATATTCGTAGAATTTGAAGAGTCGATTCTAGAGACCAAAATAAACACAAAATTTAATACGCAAAATTAGACTATATTTATATTTCAAAGTACACAAAAAGCTTATAAATAGAATACGCATAAACTCATTATAATATTTAAAATATAAATATTTTGGATAGAGATTTCACTCGATCTTTAATTGCTTGTAGATAAGCCTCGAATACTTACATACATAGACTCTTATATTCACATTGAATCAATCCTTCAATGATGCTTCATTTGTTATTATATTAACACTTGCGCAACATGGAGTTGCATTATTTCCTATCGGTTTCAATGATTTGAGAACAAGATCAAAAAAATAAAGATCCTTAAATAAAGAAGTAATTTTAAAAAATGGGCTCTTAGCGCGTACACGATCTGTTATAATGTTAAAATATGAGAAGATCCTCCGTGTTACGATTTATCAAGTTGTAAAACGGCCAATGGATGTTAGCTGTCAGCTCGGCCAACCAACGATTTGTCATCCAGCCACGGGCTGCTGACTCCCGATACGCAACGCAGAGGGTTCCTGACTAACTAAGTTTCTTAGGATTCCGCGAAGACGGTCGGTGATGGCATTCTGTCACGGCTTTTATGTTACTGTCAGATCGATACGAGTGGCCGCGCAAAACTGAACGTGATAAAGGCGTGACAGTCGAAAAAAGATGTCACTGCACTTTAGACGTCGTTTAAAGCGTGTGAATAATAGCTTTGAATGGATAACGTGATTTGAAGATATGCGACATCTTTAGGTTGTTCAGTTTCCTTGTTTCTAGAGTGGCAATTGAATGTGAATTGAACAAATGATTGATCTTGAACAGTTTTTTCTTGAAACAAACTGAGATTTGTAATAATTAAATAAGTGATCTTATTTATGAATGGATTTATATTACTAAGAATTTGTAGAAAATTTGGAGTTAAGATTATTTAGTAGTATTTTGTTTTTTAAATATACTTGGATCCTATCCTGTCCACTTTAGATTTTGTCAGTCTTCTTGCTTTGAAAAATACTGGAAAATATATAGGATTGGTTATTGATATTTCTGCTTCATTATCTAAAGATTGTTTTTTTTTAATTTTAGATATTAACATAATTTAAAAATAAAAAATTTGCAAAATAAAAATTCATCAAACTTCTTGATAAATTACCTACTCTTTAGAAAAATTCGAGTTTCGAATTTCAAATCTTTAAATTCGAATTTTTACGAATCTCTTCAAAAATCAAATTTCAACATTTTTCCATCATTCTTTTTTTTTTATTTAATCCATCATTATTTTCTCTGGAATTTCTGGAACTCGTTCTTTCATTCTTTCTCCATACAAGAATATCGTTTAAGTCAGTAGTTCAACAATGAGAAATTGGAAGCGGTAAACATATGAAAGCATATGGTCTAAGAGACGCGTTTCCATGCATATTAAACAGAACCCGAAGAACTCGTAACTATTCCACGTACAAAGAGTAGCTTCTACGTGTTGGCTACCGGTAAACCACGTCCATAACACAGTCGTAATATTTATTTTTTCTTTCTTTCTTTTTGTTTTTTTTTTCCATTTCGCAAAGCTGACAATTCGCCTCGTGTCTTCGTGGATACGGATTCTTACAACTTTATCCTCGTTGTGAATCTCGAGAAAGAGATGACATCTGGAAAACTATTCGAGTTGAACGTCCATCATTCGAACATCTTTCTTCTCGGTCAACGTTTTTTAAAGGGTAGACAAAGTTGGTGCATTATCCTTTCAACGTTACCATTGCCAAGTTCATACATTATCTTGGAGAATTTGCTTTCAAATTAAAAGCATCCTTAGAGCAACGTGATTTGAACTCATTTCAAGTGACAAGTATTGTAACACAGTGGTTCTGTATGTTATCTCCAATTACTTTTTGTATTAGCAATTGATTCCAATTTGCGTGATTAAAAGTGAAGAAAATAAGTTTTTGGAATAATTCTTTTTCATTGAAATGTTTTTTTGAGCTGAATAAATTTTAAAATCGTTCAAATACTTACTGTCACTTGAGACATTCTATTCCTGAAATTGAAGAAATATGAAAGAATAAATACTTTAATCTTATTAAATGTAAAGATTCATTGAACTATAATAATTTTACATCATACAACTTTTAATTTATTTATATTAAAATATTATTCGAAAATTGAATTAATATTACCTATCTCAAAACATGTAAACTTATAAACTTACACGTATATTATCACATCCATTTTTATCTTTGTATCTTGCTGGTTTATCACTAAAAAAAAAATATAACGTTTTAATAAAAATTAAACAAAATTTCAGTATCGAAGCAAAAATTAAACAAATTTCAATAATATAAATTTCAATATAAAAATTCTTAAACGCCTTAATCCTCGATCCTCCACTTAACTTTGCTCGAGAATTCACGGCGTTCGAATATCGAAAACGACCTATCGAAAACTTGTTTCCCACTTACCAAACCAAACTGAACGAGAATAAGTAGCCGTTTAAATCCCTTTGGACGATGTTCGCGCCTTTTTTTCACGAGATTCGCAGGGAATTAAGGTGGTAAAGATATTGCGGAAAGATCGGCTTTCTTGGGTTTCAGGCTCGTTGGTATGCAGTCGGCTTAGTTTCTTGCAAATTCGCATTCTCTTTGCCGCTTGAAATGACGTTGGACAGCTTCCTCGTGTTTTCACCCTGTTTATGCATTATGCAAGCATGAAACCGGGATGTGAAGAAGAGAAGGGCAGAGAAACGAGATAATGAGAGGGCGGTCAATGATGCAGGTTTAATCGTCATTTGAAACACTTAAAGCCTTGTATCCACTTTTAAATTTCGATAAGAGATAATAGAGAATTGTGATGATTCTGATTCGTGAATTGGAATCTTTATAAAAAGTTAAAAAGTTATTAAGTTACATGTTATATGCAATCTTTAATTGGTATTGACACTATTATCTAAAAATAATTTTAGAATAGAAATAATTTTAAGAAAGAAAAAAAAATGTGAATCAAATTTAAAGAAAATAGATTAAAGAAAATTATTATTTCAAAAGGATGATCCTGTTCATTATATTCATTTTGAAATATAAATAAATTTATAATGTATAATTAAAAATAAAAAACATGAAAAGATTCAAGAATTAGTGAAATTAATTTCACTAAATTTGGAAAATTAAATGTTGAATTTTATTATAGAAATCGTATAATCAAAATAATTTTATATATCGTTCAATGAGTGAATCGTTTAAAAACCATTCGTGAAGACCAGTGGATAAGCGGCTTAATGGTTGTTCCAAGCAGACGTCGTTGACCATCTTCACTGATACACGAGCTTCCCTCATTCTTTACCCTTTCGAACATCGTTTTACATACCATAAATCATCGTAACAATATTACTTGGGCATGTTAATTTGCTTCATATTTTTCACTATACCGGAAGCGATAAATCTGAACTGGTTTCTGGTGGACCCTTTTACATATTTTTTTCGAGGACTCCTTTTTTCATGGATAGGATATAGTATTTTCGTCGTTTCGAGTTTTGATGGATTTGGGATCATTCGTTATTAAGAAGCTCTCGAGAATCATTCCTAATCGTTGATGATGGAAAGAGGGAACCAGAGTTTTACGAAATATTAGATTTATTGTTCTGCTGTTGCTTTTATGGTTCTGTTGGCTCATCTTTACGACTCTCATTGCGGCTTTGATGTTGTTTTTTTATCTCTGTCGACAAGGTAATTCCATATTTGGTTGAAGTTAAGTTGAACTTAGTAAAAATTTATTATTATTTAACTTAGCAGATAAATATTTATGATTGACGAAAAAATATAAATTGTATCATAATAGAAACTTGTTAAAATGATAAATTTTTTACTTTAATATATATTAAATATGATTATATATGTGATAATACAAAATATATTAAAAATATGACTATATTAAACCTTAATTTTTTATCATATTACCTTAATTACAGTCATTTTTTTTTTCATCAATAAATTAACTTTATTTAAATATTGATTGACCTAATAACAGCATTTTTTCGTTCAATTTTTTTAATTCCTCTCCTTCTTTCAATATTTTTCAAAAATTCTTGATTATAATTATATCTTTATTTTATTCAATTATTTACTTCACAGTTTTCATTTTACTATTCCTGCAATTTAAATATGTGTTAAATAAATATTCCACAATAGAACTTTAAAAAAAAAACAATAACAAAAATTTTATCCTCATAATATCTCTCTAACACATGCTACTCTTTAGAATAACTTTTTTCGAAGAATCATCCATAAAATTCATCTCCATTCATTCATCTATGCATAACTTGTTCAAGGGACGCAAATCTGATGAATCTATTCTCTTGTTCATCATATTGCATAATACACACATGTACTTCAAAGCAATCCTCTTAATCAGATGGTTCATGGCAATTTCGTTAATAACTGTTCAGTCCTGCTATTTGCACCAATTCATCGTTTACCGTTAAACAATCCTTACATACCAGATTCCGTCGCATATAATTACAAGTAGATTGGATACACAATCTCTCTTTCTCCCTCGATTCTCTCTTTCTTCTCGCCGCAAAATTCCGATCGTTATCTGATTGCTCAGACTTAAACGAAACTTATTACTTGTCGTGTTCTCTCGAGGTCCATAGAATTCGAACGACCTATAAATACCATCGTTCCTTCTCTCTCTTTCTCTTTTTCTGTTTCTCTTCAGTAGTGATTGCTTGATGCTTCTTAAGCAATGTTCATTCTTTGTGACAAAGAATTCGACAAATGCAAATTTTGAGTCATGTCACTTTTTCAATAAATGTGCTTAACAAGATGAACTGGACCTGTAAATAACACTTGTTCTATTATTTTGAATATATAAATTATTATAGTATCGATACATTTTCAATTTTTTTATTATTTTGAAAGTATCATAATTTTCAAAATTTTTACTAAAAATTCTAAGCTTTAATACTAATTTGAATAATTTTATTATTTATAACATTATAAATGATATCGATGTAGTTCGATATCATAATACATATCAACTTCAACTTTCTACTCTTTTAATACAAAATTCTCATGAACTGCTTGAAAATCATAAATCATAATCTCACTACGCTAATCTTTCCTTAGTTACGACCGCCATAGAAGGAGAGAAGACTTCTTCGGAAGCCGTGAATCAAGCGTAAAAGCGGTCTGACCTTTAGCCGATGCTGGACGTATAGTAAATTACCAAACGACAACCAGTCAGATAGCATCTGACACAACATTTTTACGGTTCTCGAGTCGGCATACTAAGGAGTCATTACTTAGTCATAATAGGATTAAGGGCGTGCTGATGCAATCTGTGGCGCGAACACCGACACAGGGAGAACTGACCGATCTTCTCTTCTCTGTTTCCTTCTATTCAAGTTATCATTGTAGCGATGGGATCAAGTATCTCACAGATAGATTTAGAACATTTGAATATGGATGCGAATAGATTATGAATCCATATGTTTATGTGTTTTGAGATTTTATCATTATCTCTTGATTTCCCACGTAATTATTTAAAATATATTCCTGAATATCAAAAAAGGAAAATAATTAATATATAAATAGAAACTTATCCATTACTAAATGTTATTTTAGAATAATAAAAGTTTATATTCAATCTACAGGATTCTAATTATCATTATAAATTATTATTTGACGTAGAAATTACGTCAATAATTATCATAAAATTGTCTTTAATATAACAAATTATACATAAATGTATTAAAAAAAAATCATGCAATATTAATACATTACACATATGTGATTTCTATTATGTTTCAATTTTTTCTAAGATAAATGAATGATATCTTATTTATTTTCATTAGAAATATTTCAATATATTATAGATAATATATAATTATCACTAGTTTGACATCAACACATAGTTTTTAATTATTTTAAAATTTTTTTTCAATTGGTAAAAATCATTATTATTAATCAATAGATCATTAAATGATCTAAATACCAATTTAGTGAAATATGTTTCAAAACTTCAACAAAAACAAAAAAACAGAACAAATCTCTTTTCTTTTCCATTAGTCACTCTTAAATTACAACTACAAAAATTCATTTCTTTAATATTCCAATGCAACACCTGTTCTATCTCTCTTCGTTCGTAAAAATCATAATCGCGTCCACGATAAACAACTGTAAACATCATTTTCTTCTTTTCTATAAACATCAATATATCCACGATTAGTCTCAGTGCAATAATCGCAAATCTAATTGATCCGAGCCGGTAACAAGGTTTCGAATATCCAGCGTGACACGAGAGAGTTTAGCATCTGGTATAATTGCGAAATCGTTTCATTCAGTCGTCCTACCTCGACCGGTTTTGTATTTTCACCAAACGAGAAACTGTTGCTAAACCTTTGTTAAGTGAACACAGGATCTCCAAGACGAACAATGAATCGTTGTCGTTCAAATAGTTTACCAGATAAGGAGAATGACTACCGATTATCTGATCCGGATTTGAGGTTAAGTTGTCGAAAAAGTCGAAATCAACGACTATCGTGTGCCAATTATTTATTGTAGCTTAAGAATGGTTTAATTTCAATGAAATCGAGTTCAATGTATATAATACTTATAAATCTAGTCAAATTTAATATTAAAGATTTCTTTTATAGGAATGTGAAGTGTTATTAGAAAGAAATGAATTTAATAGATTATTCTAATATTTGCAAAGTTGGTAGTTTCGAATTTTAGAATAGCTATTTGTTAGTTTTAAGAAATTTGCAAAGTTGGTAGTTTCGAATTTTAGAATAATTATTTATTAGTTTTGAGAAATTTAATTATATTTTCTTCTATATTATAAAAATTTTTGTTATAAATAATGATCGAATTATGAAAAAAAATGTATTTTATTTTTATTATTGAGAACTATCTATAACTATCGATTAAACGTGAAATTTCTAGTAAATATATATTCATCAAATTTCAAATCAATTCAATCAACATTCGATTTTACTTTTAATTAATCTTTCCATTTATAAAAATAATTAGTTAGATACAATTAATTAGGTACTTCATGAAAAATTTATAGAATTTATTCCAAATTCCACTATTCTATTCATTAGAATAGGTTATTTCGTCAAATATATAATTTTACTAAATTGATACATTTATAAAATTTTCTCATGATACTTCATGATATTGAAATAGTACTACAAAATATTTTTATTCATGTACGATTTATAATTTATTATATTTATTTATAAAATATTACTTACCTTATTATCAAATTTACGCAACAAAATTTATTAGCATTTTTTTCTTGTAACTCATAAAATTTCTTTAATAATATTATTAATTAAATTGCGTAGAATATTCTGGTTTCGAACAGTCGAGATATGCTGCGTCCATTTTCATTGTCACTGCCACACGATGTCAGACATATTTGTTGATTCGAGATCGCATCGAGAAATCGATTTATTGAACGACAGCTATAAAGATTGTATCGATTTGTGACTCGTAACAGAAGGATACGAGTATTCTAAAAGGACTGATGTCATGTCGATTTTTCTGCTCAGAATACGAACGAAATAATTTTTTAATCTGTAGTTTCGATCGATCGAGGCGTGGACAACCTCGATCGAGATCGTGACATTGCGTTAATTGACGGGAATTTAGATTAATTGTCGCGTAACGAGAAATTGTAGATTTATTGGCAATAAATCTTATTTTTTTGCTCATTTTCACTGGTTTCCAGAAAGTGGTGGACGGGTTTCCGAGTTGCGTGTAATTTGGATCGATGCAAGATCGATAAATATTCTCGATATATTAATGTCGTTAGTACTAAACGATGATTTGTAACGTGAAGACGATTTTTATAATTCATTTTTGTGAATTATATCAACGACCGTGTCAATATATATCATATATCAATGTACGTATTTCAATAATTATATCAATATATTTATTAGTTGTATTATCAATTTATAATTATTATCTATCAACATGTTATGTTACGTGAAGTAGCTAATATTATATTATATTATTTTCCATAGTTATTATTTCGAAGTTCATCAATTAAAATAAACAAAATTAAATATGCAATTAAACAAAACATGTTTGCCTTGAAATAAAATCGATCTAAATTAAGAACGTACAATTTTTTGCATCGTCATAATTAAGAAATATGATTAAGTGACTCATTTCGCAAAGAATATTCTTCATATTTTCTTTAATTACTTTTCCTTCATCATTATATTAATTAATAAAAATTTATTCCATCTAATTCATGTAATCTATCATATTTAATTCTATATTTTATAAATAATTTTATAATTTTCTATCATAAAAAAACAATAGAACTTTTTTGGTTATCTAACATTTCGATAGTTTCATCAAATGGCGGTAATTTCAAAATTGATTATGCTATCGTTATAAAATTTATTTAAGTATCTTATTCTAATAGTCTATAAATAAATAATCATGTTACAACAATTTTATTCATATTTCAAACATTTGTTCGTATAACAATTCACCAATTTGTAAATATTGATAATATTTGCGATATAAAGCGTAATATCCATGGCCATATTCTTAAGTCATTTTCATTCCTTGTTCTCATCCTTTTTTCCTTGATTTGTTGAGCTCACGTACAATCCATCTTGTTCGGCACGTGCCGAGGGCGATGAGCGAAACGCTCGTTCTCCAACGTGTGTTTAGACCGAATATTTCTTCGGGGACGCGAAATTGCAACAGAAGATATAATTCAAGATCCATGAAGTCACGTTCCATTCTGTTAAATCGAGTCGATCCGGATCGAACGAAGAGAGATTTATTTGAGAATTATTAATGTTTCGCAGAGAAAGATGGATTGTAAAATACAAGTTTTTTTTTTTTAATTGTTATTGGGAAAGTATATTAAATGTTATATATATTTATATACATATATTTAAATTTTTTTGTTTAAATAATTTAATATTTGATGTTTATTGTTTCATTAATCTAATAGAGGTAATAAATAGATCCATTAAAATTAGAATTTAATTTTTTGATACATAACTGTGGAAAGTTCTGACTAATAAAAAATAAAATTTTTTAACATATTCAATATGGATTTATTGCAGATATTTTAATTCCTCGAAGGAGTGAAATTAAATTTAAATAAATAATATTTCCTCATTTTCTTTGCAAAATAGATATAAATTCACTTAATTTGTATTTAATTAAGTGATTTCTATTTATATTTAAAGCATGATACATGTATTGACTTCATCATTCAGAAATATTTTCTCCACGATATATTCTACATACTAACTTCATTTAAACATGTTAAGATATCTCAGAATTTCATTAAAGTTAATATTATTCATTTTATTATTTCATTTTATTATAAAAATCAAGAATTAATCAATTTAATTTATGTGATTTTTAACACATGGTTTTGTACATGGAATTATATTAAATTTATTTCATAAATTTAATAATTGAATAAAATCATGTTAAATAAATGATAAATTTATTCGATCGAAATATGTAAAATTTAACATTTTTATCTTGTACTTCGTTAAAAATCATTAAAATGAGAAAAGTTGGACGTGAATCACTCACAGTAATAGTGAACATGTCAAACATTATTTTACACCACATGATCAGACACGCCAGATAATGTACAACCCTGCTCGACAAACTAGTCATAAATTCCATAGAGACGGCGAAACAATGACGCTAATTACCTAAAGCAATATATAATTATTCCCACACGTGTTCTGCTTCTGTACAATAAAGTTATGCATATTTCATATTGATTGTCATTTAAATCGGACCTGGAATGGTTTATATGAACCAATTCTTCTCTGAACGACTACTGAATAAATTAGGTTGACATAATATTTTTGTTTGTGAAATGAAATAATTATATATTTATATGTTTTTTTCGAAATATTGCACTGTATTTAATCAAAACAATTTTCTAATATAAATAATTAAATATAATAATTTATATACTTTTTTTAACAATTCAAATAATTTATTCCAAATTCATAAGAATTATTAATTATATAATTTAAAAATATCTTTAATTAAAAGATTAATAATATAATAAAAATATAATAAAAAAAATAATAATATAAATAATGAATAAATAAATTATTTGCGCTAATGTATTTGCAATAATTCAGAAATTATAAATTTTATATCATTTTCATATGATAAATATTAATTTTTTTATTCTTTAATAATATTTAAGCTACGAATTTTTATGCAGCTAAAGAATATTGAAATTAATAATATGTACTAAAATTTAACAAAATTTTATAAACGTCAATCTAAAATAAATCAAAAAGACAGTCAAGGAACAGTCAAGAAAAAAAGAGAAAAGAAACAATATATCATGTTAACTATAGATACTAATAAGAGATACAAAAAAACAAAACTAGGAAATGCTCGTTTCACGAGCGAAATGACGGAAACTCTATTTAACTTTGAAGTTTACCGAGACGTTGACATCGATACCGCAGTATAGTGATGTAAATGAAGCCGCAACTCGGTTGTCTGGTGTTAACAGACTGCGTATAACCGGCCATTCGCAGCCAGGACGACTCTGTGAGAAGCGAAATTTTTTCACATTTGGCCCATACCGATAATTTTCAGTGGGTATGTATTTTCAAAAGTAGAAAACACGCTAGCTCTTATATTAGCCTTTTAAAGGAAGAATACTTTGAAACGTATACAGAGTGCTAATGCATTCGTGGAACATCTTTGAATTCTGAAAAGGATCAATACAAAAGTTAATATACAAAAATATCGATTAAGGCTTATTTATTAAGTTGTAACGCAATTGAAATTTGCGTTAAATGAAATGAGATAGAAATAAAATAAGATGGTTTTATCTTTGTTTTTTTACTTTATCTTGTTTGTAACTTAATATATGTCTCAATCGACATCTTTGCATATAAACTTTTGTGTTTGATCTGTGAAATCAATTCTTCAAAAGTATCTAATGAATATATTAACATTCTGTGTACAGTAAAACAATTTTGTTTATGTCTGGTGCTTTTGGTTTTCGTTTAGAAAGTGCATTCTATTGGTGATACGTTAACCGAACTTTACTTTCTCATCATTCTTATAGGTTAGGAGATACGAAGGAATTTCTCGTGATTTCGTAATAATTTCTTTTTTTATTTAATTATTTATTTGTGATTATATACATCTATGTGTATATTATATACAATTATGAGTGATAGATAAATAGATAGATAGAATAATACATTATTCAGTTTATATTGCATATTAATTAGCATTCAAGTAACAAAAATTATCCATAAAATATTGTAAGTAGATTATTTTTATTAAAATAAATAATTATAATTATATTTTAGTTTCAAAATTATACAGCATCAATCTTTGTTCAATGACATGTTTTAATTTAACATGTTAAAATTTTTTTTTGATAATGAACAATATATTTTATATTTTTATTAAATTTATTCTCCTAATTGTTTTTATCATTTCTGAAATTCAATTCATTTAATAGAGATGATTAAATTTCTATAAAAAACATTCTATTAATATATAAAGTAAAAATTTATTTTTAGTAATAAAATAATTCTTAATCTTCTTGAAGTAATAGGTTAGGTTATAGTTTTTTGAATACAGTGAAATTTCATGGAATCTATTTTAATGAAAATAGTTTTCCAAATGTGTGTTTTAGATTAAATTTTATTATTTATGCAATATTTATAATAATATTAATAATAGATGTATAATATTATCTGTTTATGAAAGTTTATATAATCTAATATTTGCATTGAAATATATTTTGTATAAAATGTTTTTGATGTAATAATATATTTATATATATATAATAATTATAAAACATATTAAAAATTTAATAAATTAAAGAATATTATTTAGGATTTTCCTTTTTAAAAAATTTTTTTTTCTTTGATATTTATAATTTATTTACCAATTATAATAATAATAAATTATAATAATAACTTATTACACTGTTTTTTCATTATGTTGGAAATGTATATGGAAATAAGATCGTAAAATATTGTGATATAACATAAATCTTGAATAATAGTAGTATTGGAATATGCAGATGTGAATAAAACTGTCACGACACGAAGGTGTATTTTGATTCTTAACCTCTATTTTATACGAAGAAACAGTTATTCGAGTTTTCTTTGATTTTTAAGTATAACCTGAGAAATATAATTTATAAATTATAGTTTTCTTTTTCTATATTCTTTTTTTATATTTTTTTTTTTTTATATTCTATTAAAAGTATTATATGTGATTATAGAAATGTCTTTTCTGCATGTAGCTATATTAACATTAATTCAACATACACGATATTGAAACATTTTTACGAAAATTTATAATTATCATTAAATTTCTTCATTTTTCGTTTTTCATTTATAATATATTAAAAAAAAACATTTATAGAATATTATATTATTTATAGAATTAGTATTTTAAAATATTTATATCAATATACAAATATCAGATATCTTTTTGAGATCGAGTAAAAACTGTTTTATTTTCTCATTAAAAGATTTCCAAATCCGAATGAATCATCACTATTTATTATATTTACTACTGATTTAAATTTTATTATATAATAATTTTATTTATTGACAATAATTATAGAGAATTATTGAAATTAAGGATTGATCGATGTCAAAAGTTTTGAATATAGTTATAAGAGGTTAGATTAGGTTAGATTATCATAGATACTTTATTATTATATACTACATAAACATAAAATATTTTAATTCACTTATTATAACATAATTCATTTCACTTTCCTTAAATTATTCCATTTACAAAATATTTATCAGCATGTATTTTTAAAAAGGTTAGAAAAAATATAAATCAATTCGGTAATCTTCGTTTCTCTTTCCTTTCGTTCAATTACCTCCTCTCGTTTTCGGCTTCTACCTGCCGCATTGCTGGTGGCCGAGTTTCACGTGCCGTTAACCTTGAATCCGGATTTTAACGGCTGCATTTATGCTAATATGCCAACCCGTGGAAGAAAGCATGCCGCCACAACGAGTGAACACGAGGTAAAGTTACCTCGTGCATCTTTTTATCCCGCGGGACCACCGTGAACTAATGACAATCGGTTCGAAAGTTGCGCTTGCGTTTCGCATACGTGTCTTCCCCTCTCTCCTTTCATCATTTTAAATGCATCGATAGCATGTTAGACGATAATTGGTCGTAAAGGACGATTACAACTGTATGCAAATTCGTCCAATTCCACGAGTCTTGTTCTCATATTTTTTTATTCTTTTTTTTTTTTTTGGACCAATCACGTGTAATGATAACCGGTGTACATCCAATGTTTACTTAATAATATCGAACGTTACGTTAACCTTGTAGATCAGCTGAGAGGTATAGTCAGTCGCAAAAGTTTTCATTCAACTTATATCAATTCAATTGATATTGTCGAAATAATATAATAATAATTCTATTTTATATGAAACTTTGTACGTGTAGATACATATATTCGATATTTCTATAAAAGTTTTTGATGAATACAATAATTGTATATAAATTGACTAATTCTCGTAATTTTATGATAATTTTAATAATCACATATCTCTTTAACAAATTTCAATTATCATATTTTATTTTAAAGGTCTTTTAGGAAATTGTAAAATTAAATTGATTCTTGAGTTAATTTAATTTTATAATAATATAAAATTAATGTTTGAGTAAAAAATCTTAAACTATAATTATAAAACTTATTTAGGTAAAATTAAAATTAACTTTAATTTTCTTTTTTAAATATTATTAAAAAATATATTAGATATGATCTGTTCTCTTCAAAATGACCAAAAGGAACCATTCAAACAAATGTAAATGTCCTGGTTGCGGTTTCTTCGCATTGTTACTTATTCCGTATTACCTGTAAATGTCGCGGGGGTGGATCTTCTTTTTTTTTTTACCACGTTTCGCGGTTCAAAGATTTACATCGTTCTGCTCTCTTCCCCCGAGGAACGACGTTTAACGTCGTCGAGGCATTGTTTGCATGAACTTTCACAAAGTAAATTCCCCCTTTTATTTTTTCAGGCAACGTTAACGTCAATCCTCATTTTCTTCTCGAGCAATTTTTAAACGAACAAACCACTCTTACAGATTCTCCTCCATCCGGTGGATGTCGAATTTGCGTCAAATCATTTTCTTTTGTCCATGCATATTGTTATGCATATACAAATTATAATAATTGATTATGAAACGGCGAATTTTTTTCAGATTTAAAAAAAAAATTATCCACAGATAGAATATAGTAAAAAAAAAAAAACATAGGAGAAAATTTTTCACGAGTAATTAGAATCGTCTCTCGGTCGATTTATTATTATTAAACAATACTCGTGGTCTCGCTACCTCGATTTTCATGATTCGCGGCGCCGCATACATCGCGGTAATGAAGGCAATTCATTCGCTTATTCACCGTGTCGCCCTCGTAGGAGTAAGACATTAACGTGTGCACAAGCACCGATTCGCCGATTATATCCACGAATGTGTACGATGGAGAAACACAAGCGGCGGGATGACGTGGGCGAAAACACGCATTGAGATGTGTTTCTTTTCTCGCCGGCTACCCACCCGCAACTACACGCGTTCCTCTTTCTCCTACTCTCGCTTTCCTTCTTTCTTTCTTTCTTTCTTTCTTTTCCCGTTGATTTTGCTCTTGCAAGGCCTGCAACAGGAAAGCGAATTGCGGCCGAATGATTCATATGACCATGGTGGCCGCGAGTGGCTGGTTTATGGAAAGAGGGTGCTTGCTTTTTTCTCACGATAACGGCGAGAAACGGGCGAGAAATAAAATTTCGAAGATATTCCGGCGATTTATCTTTGATGCTATGGAGAATTCTGTTGTGGAATTCCGTTTAGATTTACGTTCGCTGGAATATTGAGAGTTTTGATATTGGAAATATTTCTCTGCGGCTTTATCTTTGGTGCAATATAGAATTCTGCCATTTATCTTTTGGTGCAACGTGGAATCCCGATATAGAATTCTGCCATTTATCTTCTATGCAATATTGAATTCTGAATCTTTAAGAAGCAATTAGGAATATTTTGGATTGATTATGTGATTAAAGTTTTGGAATATTTTAATATTTTAAGAATGGAAATTTTGTCGAGATCGTCCGATATTATTCTATGTGACTAGAAATAACGAGTTGAATGAGAATGAAGCGTTTTAATTGTCAGTAACGTCAACCTTTGAAATTAAAATTTCTCATTTCAAAATTTCCACATTATTTCCACCAACGTTTTCTAATTGAAAAACAATGTATTGGCGAAATCATTCATTTGCAAAATTGTGCAAACATTGGAAATGGTGGGTATTCTTAAAAAAATGAAAACAGTGTGAAAAAAAATAAAAAATAAAAAGATAAATAGTTATATTTAAAATCAATATCTGAATAAATTCTCATTATTCATCTCCATACCTATTTATCAATAAGAACAAATTGGAGGAAATCAATAGGAGGAAATTAGATTGAGCAAATTGAAATTAATAAAAATTGCTTAAAATGCACAAGAATAAAAGAATTATTAAATTGTTAAATTTTTAAAATTAATATCAAGATAATTAGAACAACCATGTTGCTTATTCTCCAGTTACTTCCTCTCAT